ATTTATTCTACAAATGAACCCCCTGTGTGGGCTCATTTTATCAGTAAGGCATAGTTTTATTGGGCAAAGGAGACCAGGACCCGAAATCAAGGACATTATTCTGTGATCTTGCAAGCCACATTCCCTGTGGGGTTCTCAGTTGCCTTAATTTGGAAATGAAGTTGAGCTAACTGTTGTCCAAGGTTCCTTTACGTTCTCCTCACTCTTCAATTAGTCCTGTTCCTTCTGCCAAGCATTATTATTCCCACTTGGTAACAAAGAAACTAAGACATCAAGAAGTTAAGTGGTGTAGACCAACTACTGTGGGAGGGAAGGGGCCAGAGTGGACATGCCTGAGCTGCAGGCAGCCTCGGAGCTAAGATTCAATTCTTTATTTCTATTCCCAGTAACAAAAATTTCACCTTGAGGGCAGAAGCAAAATCAAGTTAGAGCTCCTAGTAATTACATTTCCTGCAGTAACTCAGAATATAAATCAGCAACTAACGGGATGCATGTTAGGTGCTCACAGTTGCAGGCTCTTTTGTCTCTGCCAAGAAAATTAAAGAAACGCTTGTTCACATTTTTATAAAATCATGAAAATAACAAACCAGACATTTGTAAATGATCAACTGAGCTGTGACGAGGCTAATTGGTAGTAATCGTTTAGAATTACTGCGAAGAACAGTGCTCATACCTCTCCTCCCATTGTGCTCTGAAACCAGGACTACTCATAGAAACAGAAACACCAGGGCGGCAGAAAGGACACACACACACCAGGACTTGGCCCTCACCCACACGGCGCCATGGTCTTAGAACCTTGTAAATAGTTCTTCCTGAGAATGAAATGTCACACTGCTCTGTGTCATAATCCCAGCTCCCCTTGCTCTGCAGCTGTGCATTTGGGCAAGTCCCTTGGTCTCTTTGCACTCAGTTTCCTTCCCTGTGGAATGGGTTGAGGTGGGGTTTAAATGAGTGCAGACTTGTAAAGCATTTAGAACAGTACGTGGTACACAGTAAGTGCTGTGATGAATCAGTACCACCACTGTGGTTATTTGTCCCCAGGCAGCAGAATGATAGCATCTCCTGGATTGTGTCAAACCCAAACATTCCACAAGGTCTCCCTTGACACCCAGTGCAAGGGACAGAATGGAACCATTGATGTAACTTGAGTTTTAAATAAAGTCATTACCCTTAGAACAGCTTCTTGCCAGGGTACTCCAGGTGTTTGAGGTCCTAAGCCTCTCTTAGCTCCATGGGTTGATCACTAACACTATACCCATTTTGTCAAAAAGACAATCAGTCTTTTCCTAAGAATAATTCTCTTCCAAAGAATCATTGGCTGATAAATCTTCAGCTTTTTCAAGATTATTTTATTCAAACAGTTGGACCATTCAGTCAACTGTCAACTGTGTGATTGAACTGAAAAGTTAGGGCAGCCAGTCGGGACACTCAGTGGGCATGTTGCTGGCGTGTGGCTAAGCTGTGCCGAGTAGCTCACCAGCAGGCAGAGGGCTGATCCCAGGGACGTGAGGTTTGTCTTACTGGTAAGGCAACTTTAAGAGTGGCTTAGCTAGCCCGGCCAGTGTGGCTCAGTGGTTGAGCGTCCACCCATGCACCAAGAGGTTGCCAGTTGGATTCCCAGTCAGGGCACATGCCCAGGTTGTGGACCTGATCCTCAGTGGGGGACTTGCAGGAAGTGGCCAATCGATGTTGTCTCTCATTGATGAATCAATGTTGTCTCTCATTGATGTTTCTATCTGTCTCTCCCTCTCCCTTCCTCACTCTCTAAAATCAATAAAGAAAAAAAGATATATAGATATATATGTATAGATATATATAGATATATAAAGAGTGACTTGGCTAATCTATCAGTCAATCAATAGATTTAGCTTTTTGTTCCTTTGAAAATCTAGACATGGAAGAGCTTCAGAATCCCAAATCTGTTCTTTTTCCCACTACCAGCATTTTAAGATTTGTTCACACACCTTGTCCTGATTGTGTGTGTGTGTGTGTGCTGGCTGAAAAATCTGCAAAACAACAAAAGCCAGTTTCTTTTTCTCCATCTTCAGTCAACATCAGCCCGAAACAAATATAAATAATTAGAAATGGGCCTGAGACATTCCCAGGTTGAAAGAAAGATACTCATAGGCAGTATACTTCTCTTTACATCTCCAGAGGGACAAGCATGGCTGCTTCCATCACCTTGGATCTGACAGCTGCAATGTAGCCCGAGCAGAATGACGTTCCAACTGCAGACAGCGGCTCCCAGAAAGCAGCTTACGCAGCAGAGCAGCAGGGAGGTGGAGCCTTTGTGTAGAACAGTCATTAGCAATAGTGGCAGCACAAACCACGACCACTTGCATCTTGGTGACGATAAGTGGTGCACGAGGAGGGTCCTGGGCATGATCGGTGCTGGGATGTTCATAAATACGTTTCAGATGAAATCTGATTGAACCTCAAGAGACAAGCATCACTTGTAATCACGGTACCATTAAATTTGTATTTTATGCTTCCATTTTTTTCTATTTGCTCTTAAGGAATTGGTTCACCAGATTTCCAGATTAAAAGGTGTAATGATAGATATTCCAAAAGAGAGTACACAACAGGGACCAGAAGACAGAGCAACACTGGCTGTCTCGGGAGCATTACTGGGCCATGGGTTGATCCAGGTGCTAACGGGCGAAGCCACGTCCCAAAGCGCAGCCCTTCTTTATGCCTTTGCACAGGCCATTATTGCCTTTACTAGTTCCGTCCCCCTTAACGCCTCCTGCTTTGCTGCCTGGGACCTTCCTGTCCCAACTGAAATATTGAATACCTACCCAGTACTGCCCCCTGCAATGTGACTTAGGATAGAGCAATAACATACTGAGTGTTGATCACTGTTCTCTGCTGCACTGGCTTATTGTCCTCACAGTACTACCATGTAGGTGTTGGGGCAACAGACTGATGTAGATATAGATGTGGACCTGGATGTGGATGGGGACCTGGAGGTGGATGTGGATGTAGATGTGGACCTGGACATAGATGTGGACCGAGACCTGGATGTGGATGTGGACCTGGACATAGATGTGGACCAAGACCTGGATGTGGATGTGGATGTGGACCAAGACTGGAATGTGGACCTGGACGTGGATGTGGACCTGGACGTGGATGCGGACCTGGACGTGGATGTGGATCTGGACGTAGATGTGGACTTGATGTGGATGTGCATGTAGATGTAAAACTGAACATGCATCTGCATACAGATGTGGATATAGGTGTAGCTATAGGTATGATTAGGTCATGCTTGTAATTGGCCTGGCACGTGAACGTTGGCACTGCTGTGAAAAGTTAATAATGTCCTGTGTAGGACAGAACAGTCGGAATGTTTCCACATGTCAGTCTTTTACATTCTTCTAACTTTTAAACAGATGAATTTGATATTTGGTAAAAATGAATTTTTCATTGAGAACAGACATTTTACTATTTTCATTCATAAAGCAGTACTAACAATGACCTATGACCCTTGGTTCCCAAAGATGGCATATACTTGCTATTTTAAACATCAAAATTTTTAAAATTATTTGAAGCGATAAATTCCTGGGAATCCCAAAGGCCAGATGCCTTTTTCTTGTTAATGTTGTTGATTCTCACCCAAGGATATTTTTTCCATTAATTTTTAGGGAGAGTGAAGAGGGAAGGAAGGAAGGAAGGAAGGAAGGGAGGGAGGGAGGGAGGAAGGAAGGAAGGAAGGAAGGAAGGAAGGAAGGAAGGAAGGAAGGAAGGAAGGAAGGAAGGAAGGCATGAGGGAGGGAGAATAAGAAAGAGAAAGAGAAAGAGAAAGAGAAACATTGACGTGAGAAAGACACTTCAATTGATTGCCTCCCGCATGCACCCTGACCAGGGCCGGAGATTGAACCTGCAACCCAGGTATGAGCCCTTGACTGGGAATCAAACCTGCGACCCTTCTATGCATGTGCCGATGCTCTAACCACTGAGCATATTGGCCAGGGCAGAAATCATTTGTAATTTTTACAAAATAATACTGGACTCAAATGAAGTCAGTGCTGCTGTGACCTTGATGCATTTGATCAAAGTCAGAAACCTGCATTCAGATTCTTAATCTACTGCTGCCTGGATCTCTGGTGTGAGCTTTAACGGATTTCCCTCATTTGTGCATCACGGGAGGTGGACAAAATAGCCTCTCTGGTCTCTTCATTGCAAGATTATATAGGTGTATGACTCTTCTGGCTTGTGCAGTGTTAATAAGAATAATAATTGCTCATGTGTTCTAAGTGTTTATTACGTGATAGGCATTCTTCTAAGCCATACCATTAATATTCATTAACCATTTTAAGCATCATAGCAACTATCTGGAATAGATACTGTTTATCTCCATTTCGTGGAAGAAAGTAAAGCCCAGAAACTAAGTATCTTGTCCAAAGTCACACAGCTAGAATGTTGTGGAGCTGGGACTCAATTCTAAGCAGTCTGACTCCAGAATCCATGATCTAAACCATTCTTTTATGCCGCAATTAAAAGTCAACCTTTATGCAGTTTGTCCCCAGCCCTGGTTGGTCGTGCGGGTGGCAGCCACTCGATGTGTCCCTTTCACATCGATGTTTCCCTCTCTCTTCCTCTCTCTCCCTCCTCTATCTGTACAAAAAATGGAAAAATGTCCTCGGATGAGGATTAAAAAAAAAAAAAAATCAACCTTTATACTGTTGCATGATGTAAGGGTTCGTACCAAAAATCAGTGTTAAGGAAGCAACTCTGAAGAGCCGATGTGAAAAGTGTAGGTGAAGGTGGGAAAATTCCCTCTAAAAGCCCAAATGCAAAAGGAAACCAAAAGTTCTCCTTATATTTTAAGCATTTGTATGATGCATCATTTCCATACATCGCGTTGGGACTATAGCTACATACTTCTGTGTCAAAGTGCAAGAAAAAAAATCTCACTACCACTTCGTCCTTGTGCATATTTTCTCTCTGAAACTGACGCCACGCGACGCACATGGCCTGACGCTTCCGCTTTAATTTCACAGATGAAAGAGCTCGGTGTCATCTTCTACAACTGCAGCTGCCTGGTCCTGGATTTGCAGAGGATATTGGCTCTATACAGCTCGTTGAAATTCAAGAGCAGAGTGCCTCAGACCTGGTCCAAGAGGCTCTACGGAGTCTACGACAACGAAAAGAAATTGCAACTTCAGCTGAACGAAACCAAGTCCCAAGCGTTTGTGTCGGTGAGTGGTTGACTGCCTCCTCCTCCTCCTCCGCTCCCCTCCACGGGCCCTATATTAAGTTGGGGTGCTGATGTGTGAGCTTACGTTGGGAAAAAAATGAAATGTGACAGATCAGTTCTGTTCCATTCCCTAAAGAGTTCGAATCTGCCCACTGTATGCTGTCATATGCTGCCCCTGATGATGACATGACACATGTTAATAATCACTCCGAAAACTAGGTACGTTGTGTCATCTGAATTGACCCTCACAGTCGTCCCCTAAGGTAGACCTGGGATTGTGGCTGTGCTGCAAATGAGGGTATTGAAGCTACTCTGCTGTCCATGAAGAGCCCAGGGGAGCCACCAGCACCCAGGTCTTGTCCTCCAGATCCCGTCTTGGCTGCCCTGTGTCAGTGATGTTCGGACTTGTTTTTGGCAATAGAACCCTTTGGTGAAACAGATCGGAGGGAACCCCAGCATGTACAGACAAAAGCAAAGCCGTCGTACTTGATTGAGGCTAGAGGGGAGGACGTCCTGCATAGCTCTCAGACCTCTCACTTCATTGAAACCCACCACCCCGCCCACCTTCACCCACCTCCCCACTCTCCCCCGACCCCTCTCCGCCCACCGCCCACACACCGCAGCTGTCTCCGCGGTGTTACTGGCAATGGGCAATGTAGATCTGGACCGACAGCCCTGTCGTCAGACTTTAAAGTACTTAAGAACCAGCAGAGGGGGCCTGTTTAAGATACAGATTTACAGTCTCCCCACCCTCACTGGACCTCGGGGGGACCTCAGGATTTTGATTTGCATCAAGTTTCTGAATAGATCTGATGCTTAGAAAAGCTTCTCTAGCTGGTTTGGCTCAGTGGTTAGAGCGTTGGCCTGCAGTCTGGAGAGACCCGGGTTCGGTTCCCACTAAGGGCACGTACCTCGGTTGCAGTTTGTCCCCGGCCCTGGTTGGGTCGTGTGGGTGGCAGCCACTCGATGTGTCCCTTTCACATCGATGTCTCTCTCTTTCTCTCTCTCTCTCTCTCTCTCTCTCTCTCTCTCTCTCTCTCTCTCTTCCTCTCTCTCCTTCCCACTCTATCTGAACAAAATATCGAAAAATGTCCTCGGGTGAGGATAAAAAAAAAAAAAAAAAAAGCTTCTCTAAACACACTCCCAATGTACCACAGCTATTTCTCCACTGACTGCTATCAATACTTTTGTGCTAACAACTTTATGTCACTGAAGAGCATTCACTGAAGAGTGAACTGTAGCCCTTTTGCCTATTAAAGTGAAAGCACGCTTTTCTGACATCTCTAGGTGTCCCCATCATGGTGTGCATGAAATGTCCTGGCTGACGCTCTCAGGAGCATCAGTCATGCCGAAAAGAGAGGGAGATGTCAGGTTCTTACCGGGCCGTGCTGCAAAATCATCATCCTTTCTAACCGCGAATTTGAAATCATTGATCAGAGCTAGGACAATGACTGTGACCCTCATGAGCAGGCTAACAGGTATGCAGTGATCAGCCCCAGGTTTCATGTGCCACTCGAAGATGCAGAAAAATGGCAGAGGCCCCTGCTCCTGTCCCATCAGTACTGCCCGTCTCAGTGGGCATCATGAACCACGAAGAAGCCAGATGAAAACACACAGGAGGGAAAGTCCTGGGCTTTTTCTAGAGGTGTAATACCTACAGCCAAATAAAATGCCTCAATGCAAAAAACAATAAAATAAAATAAAATAAAAGCACAGTCTGAAAATTTAAAAATGTAGCAATAGAAAGAAAAGAGGAAATTGGAGTTGTCTTAAAGAACAAATTCACAATAATGTGAATAGCAGGATAAAAACTATAAAAGGTTTACCCTGGCCGGTTTGGCTCAGCGGTTGGAGCGTCGGCCTGCGGTCCCGAGAGACCCTGGTTCGGTTCCCACTAAGGGCAAGTACCTCGGTTGCAGTTTGTCCCCGGCCCTGGTTGGTCGTGCGGGTGGCAGTCACTTGATGTGTCCCTTCACATCAATGTTTCTCTCTCTCTCTCTTCCTCTCTCTCCCTCCCGCTCTATCTGAACAAAAATGGGAAAATGTCCTCGGGTGAGGATAAAAAAAAAACAAATCTATAAAAGGTTTAAAAACCTTTTTGGGAGTGTGTGTGGAGGTCAAGAATGCAGGAGTGAGTAGGTTATTGTACAGCACATTTTACTAAGAAAATTACTTCATATGTTCAGTTTCATTTTCTCTCAAGACAACCCTATAAAACAAGAAGTCCCCATATGCTTGTCAACTTGTAGATGAGCCATAATAGGAAATTTGCCAAGGAACCCTTACTCCACATGGCAACGGGGTGACAGGACACCCCAGGGGACACTCACTCAACCTAGCCCAGTGGAACAGACAAGAAGCAACAAGAAATAACAAATTATGGGCCAATTTCAGATAGTTGCTGGATTTCGAATCTATGGTTTGAATCTTAGAGATAAGCAAATGTGGTTATTGTGGAAATTTAAATTGTGACCCTTTCCCAGCAGGTGTGGCTCAGTGGATGGAGCATGGTCCCATGGACTGAGAGGTCCCTGTTTGATTCCCGGTCAGGGCACATGCCCAGGTTGTGGGCTCGATCCCCAGTAGGGGGCGTGCAGGAGGCAGCCGATTGATGTTTCTCTCTCCCATTGATGTTTCTATCTCTCCCTCCCTTTCTCTCTAAAAAATCAATAAAAATATATTTTAAATTGTGATCTTTAAAAAAGGGAGGGGGTTCTCCTCTCTTGGTCCCAAATTTAACACCTACCACAGAGAAAGAGCTCAGGCCTTTAACAAAATCCACCCAGGGCAAATTTACAAACTGCTTTTTATTAAATAGTTCACCACAAAATATGTTGGGTTGTGAAACGTTCCTTTAGGGATAGTCTTTTAAACTACGAAATGCCTTTACTTTATCTTTTTATTTGTTTCATTATTGTAACTTATTTTCTATTTCCTATTACTATCAAACCTGCCTTTAAATTTCGATTAAACAGATATTAATTGGATATCATTTCTTCAGATATATAAAATCTTACAGGTGTAAAATAAAGTGAAAAACCTCCACTGTTGGAATTCATATCATTTCCCCAAAGCTCCTTGATCTCACCTCTATTATAGTGTCTCTCATATTTTTATAACCACTTCTTTATTGATTGTCATTGTTTTATAAGGTTCTCAAGGTCATGTACTGTGCCCCCTTTATTATTAGTGTTCCTGGTACCTCACTCTGGGCTCCCTAAAAGCTACAGTAAATGTTGGATCAATTTCATTAGTGGTAATATCAATCAAAAGTTCCAGCATGCATACAGTTTTCTGAGTAATACATGCCAAACAAATGCCAAGATAGATTTACTTAGATTCGAAATATTTGTTGTAAGATATCTTAAAATGGTATATGTTTGTAAGCTGACAGTCCCAACTAAGTTAGCGCACAAAAAATATCTTTGAAGACCTTCTGAATTACCATTTCCAAAATTAGATTTTAAATGATTAAAACCTTAGCATGGTTAAATATACATTTCAATATATGGTACAAATATGGATTTTTTTTTTCCATGGAACACTAAGAGGTCAGATTTAACCATGAGATCTCCAGTAGTTTAGAGCCAGATAATCCCAATTCTCTTACATTTCTCATTGAAATGAGAAGATGGAAGCCATACTTGGCCGTTTTTGTCCTAACTTATAGATTTCTTTGCGATTATAAATTTGCTTTTCAAGATAAAGAGTAAGTAGTTAGTTCAAGGTCTGTTGTTATCGATCTGGGTGCCACACAGATTTCATTTCTTGTTGTTTATTGTTTGGGTCATTCACCCATCAGTTGTGTGTACTGAGATATATTTATTGAGTGAGGGCAGGCATTAAATAGAACTTGGTGTGCTGTGAAAAATACATATTATATTCCTCTTTAGAACCTCTACTATATGTTGCTAATTGCATTTTTGAAAATGTTGTTGGGAGATAACTTACATGCCATGAAATTCATCCTTTGAAAGTATATAATTAGTGGGTTCTAGTATAGACACGGAGTTATGCAATCATATCCACCCTCAAATCTTAGAATATTTTCATCTACACGGAGAAAAACACCACACGCATCAGCAATCACTCTCCATTTTCTCTGTTCCTCAGCCCCTGTCACCTACTAATCTACTTTCTGTCTCTAAGGAATCCTTCCCAGTGGAAAACAACGAGAAAACCAAAGTACACCTTTCCTTTTCTATAGCCATTAGGGTCTGAACACACCATACCCTTATTTTATTTTATTTTATTTTATTTTATTTTATTTTATTTTATTTTATTTTATTTTATTTTCATTAATCCTCACCCAAGGATATGTTTTCATTGATTTTAGAGAGAGAGGAAGGGAGAGATAGAAACATCTATTGGTTGGCCCCAACTTGGGATCGAACCCACAACCTAGGTTTGTTCCCTGACCGGGAATTGAACCCAAACCTTTTGGTGTGTGGTCGATGCTCCAACCAACTGAGCCACCTGACCATACATACAAAACACCTACATCATTTTAAAGATGGAAACCACTTTGAACAAGAGGAGAAAAAGACCTCAATTATAACTTGCCTCTTTTTCATTTTGCTTAAGTCTTTCAGAATATCTATCTTCCCTGTCTCTCCTGATGAATGTGGGCATCTTAATAACTCTCTGTGTTTCCTCTAGAATTATTGATGACCCTTTGTCAACAATCAATACTCCTCTGACTTGATGAAAGATTGGGGGGGGACAAGCTTTTCAGATCGTCTTGAACATTTTTATAGCCACATCGCCTTTCAGATTAAATGACTACTAGGGTACATCACTTGCTGTGTGTACATAGGGTCATCTGGCAGTGCCTGGGGACAGAACAGCTGTGTGCGACAGGGATGTACGCCAGGGTCACATAAGTCTAGAGCTGGAGCATTCCTCCAAAAATCAGAGGTATGTGCGTGGAAAGCAAGAATTTCCTCCTAAAACAGACTTAAAGGACAGACTTGAGACCGATCCCACCACACTTGGATGTCCACATGCCTCAACTTCGATAGGATTGAAAATGCATTTGTCTTATCTCATAAAGAACTGGAAAGTAGGTTTTCAAAAAAAGAGAAACTCCCAGATGACAGAAGTTAATACTCTGAAATTTGGGGGTTTGTGTCTTCACAGAATTCTCCCAAACTCTTTTGCCCTAAAAACAGAAGCTTTGACATAGATGCTATCTACAGCGTGATAGATGATGCCAAGAAGTACGTCTACATCGCGGTCATGGACTACCTGCCCATCTCCAGCACCAGCACCAAAAGGTCAGTGACGGGACCAGGCACGACACTGGGGACCCCTGGAGAAAACAGCCTGGACACTGAGATGCTCTCGGGTCATGTTTAGTCACACATCATTCAAATCAGCTGGGTGTGCCTTTGCAGTTTTCCCATGATGCATCCTTCCCACAGTCCTTTTTAAGGACTCAGGGTCTCACTCTACAGAAGTATCTCAGTAGTTCACATTTAGAGGCATAAAAACAACTTATGAATGAAGATTGGGTTGTTTTCAACTTGAAAATTATTTGAAAAATAAAATCAATGAAAAATCAAATAGCCCAGCCTGTGTGGCTCAATTATTGAGCATTGACCCATGCACCAAGAGGTCGCCGGTTCAATTCCCAGTCAGGGCACATGCCCAGGTTGTGGGCCCGATCCCCAGTGGGGGGCATGCAGGAGGCGGCCAGTCGATGTTCTCTCTCATCCATGTTTCTCTTTCTTTCCCTCTCCCTTCCTCTCTCTAAAAATCAATACAAATAAAATAAAATAAAAATTATTTGAAAAAAAATTTTTGAAAATTATTAGCTGAGATGTATCCGAAGGACATACTGCAACTGGGTAGGCCTGGCAAGATTTTCCTTAAAGGGTGCGTCACTCTGTTGTATTCACGTTAGTCTTCATCAAATGCTACATTTTCTTAACAGCTCAATTTAAAGGAGAAGGAAACTTAAAATGTGTATGTTTTCAGTCAATCTGCCTCTCTGGATGAGGAAGAGGCATCTTAAAAAATGGAGAGCTTTGTCGGTACGTCCTCATTGTTTGAGTGTGGGAAGACTGGGGATAAATCCAGGGGCATCCACGCCTCTTTTGTGTCCTTGTTGGGAATGCAGAGATTCATGTGCTTGTACATGTTTTGAGGAATACATTTAATCCAGGAAATGTGTTCAAAGTGCACATTTCTGGGAGTACAACTTGAGATCATTTTTAATTTGGAAAATTACAATTTCAAAACAACCTTTTACTGAAGTTAAATGATTAAGTGTGCCCTATATCGCTTGAATAGTTTTCATGTTACCAACGTCAGGTGTGCATAATGTGCAACTTCTTTATGCAAATGACTGGGGGACTGCAAAAGGAATATTTCACCAGAAAGGAATTACTCCTAATGACAGTTGAAAAGCATTTTAAGATGCACATTAGTAGGACACTTACTTTAAAAATATTGGATAGCTTTTGATGGATTCATAGATTTTTTTCCACATCTTTTCTATTTCTCTTTTTTATGTTTCTCCCATTCATAGTTTATTTGGTTTTAGATTAAGTTTTAGACTTCAGCTTCACTTTGGGAAGATTCTGAAACATAACAGATAGGTTTTGCCTGCTTTTATTATTATTCAGAAGAATATTGTCAAGGTTGTGTTAGGATTGGATGGTGATTTCTCATGATTAACAAAACCTTCATTCCATAAATTTCCACAAACAAAATTAAGATCCTTCATGGCAAATGGGGGAAGGATTAGTATGGTGATTATAAAATATAAAAGTTAGAGAAAACTAGAAGAATATTAAAGAACTGGAAACTCACCTGAAATTTTGCATTGTTGTTATTAATCTACCATTTCAGTTATTATTCAAAGAGCATTTTGTATTATACTTTGTAATTTCAAAACTTACAATGCCTTTAGCTTTCTAAGTGAAAAGTTATCAGGGACATAAGAAATAGTTCAAACATCCAGGTTAATTAAATTCTATGAATATAAATTTTACTTTAAAAGTCAGACTGGTTACTTGTCTTTAAATCATCCTGGAGAAATTTGTTAATAGTTCAGTTCTAAAGACACACGGGCTCAAAGTAAAAGGGTGGAAGATGATAGTCCAAACAAATGCAAGTGAAAAGAAGACAGGTATAACCATACTTACATCAGACAAAATAGACACCAAGCCAAAAAAGGTAACAAGAGACAAGGTCATTATATAATGATAATGGAGGTCAGTACCTCAAGACGATATAACAGTCATAAGTATACACACTGCCAACAATATATTAAGTAATTAATAGCAGATCTTAAGAGAGAAATAGACAATACAGTGATTGTAAGAGACTTCCGTCCTCTGCAGTCAGCAATGGATAGATGATGGAATCATAGAATAATCGTAGTCCAACAAATTACATAACCTACCAAGACTGTATCAGGAAGAAATAGAAAAGCTGAACAGACCAATAACAAGTAAAGAGATTTAATCAGTAATCTAAAAACTCCTAACACAGAAAACTTCAGGATCAGATGGCTTCACTGGAGAATTCTATTAAACATTTAACGAAAAATTAACACCAGTCCTCCTCAAACTCTTCCAACATATCGAGGAGGGGGAAACACTTCCAAACACATTCTGTGAGGCAAGCATTAGCTTGATAGCAAAGACAGGTAAGGATACGATAAGGAAAGAAATCCATAGACCTTGGTGAATATAGGTATAAGAATTTTCAACAAAATATTAGCAAATTGGGTTCAAGAACACATTAAGAGGATTATATGCCCTGACCAAGTGGGATCTATCCCTGAGATGCAAGGATGGTTCAACATACACAAGTGAATGTGAACATCGCTCCAATAAAATGAAAGACAAAAATCACAGGAAGTTGAAGAGATTTTCGGGAAGGAATGAATAACAGAGAACACTTGCAGAGGGCCAAGGGCATGGCCTTCGGGTAACTTTAGAGGAGCTGCGGTCCCGGGGAAGAGTCAGAACTCAGTGAACGCAAAAGGTTAAGGATTCAAGGGAGAGGCTGATCCTGCAGGGAAAACTTTGCCTGATGGAGGATTCCCAGGCCCCAGAGCGGGGGGAGTGGGGAGGGAGAGACATGCTCAGGAGGGAAGAGGACAGTCTGGAAGTAAGAGTGTAGAAAGCTTGATAACCAGAGCAGAAGCTCATTTTGGGGACAGTTACCAAAGAGAGAGGTTTGAGAGGTATTTGGGGAGAGGGGGTTGCTCAAGCTAACTGGAACTCTGTTGAGAGGCTGATCCTTGGAGCACAGGCAGGGTTGGAAGCAGAGGGTGCCACGTGGTAGTGGTCAGTCTGTCCGTGCCCTCTGCCCACACAGCCTGAGGCTGGTTGTGGGAGACCTCATTTTAGGCAGGGGCAGGTCTCCATAAAGCATTGTCTCTTGATGCCCTAACCCAGGAGGCTCGTATATTTTTCAACATATCCTACAAGGTCGTGTATATATTATAGAACAAAGTAATGGTCAGATTAATATCAATGTACTCTGAAGTCCAGTAAATTTATTTTCCAAAACTAACTTGCTTTCTTCATTTTTTTCCATATGGATATTATTTCCACAGGGCTTACTGGCCAGACTTGGATGGGAAAATAAGAGAAGCATTAGTTCTAAGAAGAGTTCAAGTTCGACTCCTCATAAGCTTTTGGAAGGAAACGGACCCCCTTACATTTAACTTCATTTCATCTCTTAAAGCTATTTGCACTGAAATAGCCAACTGCAGTTTGAAAGTTGTAAGTATTGTGTTCCCTTTGCTAAAAGAGTTTCTTCCCTCTGCACACCCGTGAAAGCGGTAAGCACACACATGCACAGAAACTTCCGATAAGAACGGGAAGAACGATCTTCGGTAGTGAGGACCACTTTCAAAGGGAGGGCAGGTGATTTTTCAAAACAATTACACTCCCACAAAGGAGGCTGGAACCCACGAGTCCCGGTGCCCTCACAGTCTCACCTCCGCACACCCTGTCCGTTGCCTCCTCTTCATTGTCTTCGAATGACCTTCTCCACCTACTATTCTTATTTGTAAGACTGTGACCAACAGAACACTGGGACATGCACCACACGGCCCAGCCTTCAAGTCCCCCTGGCTCAGGTTCCTGCACTTGCTCCTGGTCCCTGGGGCCACATGCTCATCTAACTCTGCACCCTTGATGGGGCAAGACTATGAAATGCTCTGAATGTGCTAGAGTCCAGCACGACTTTGTCCTCGGGTCCTCGCCTGTAGCACCCCCATGCTGTGCCCTCTGCCTGCAACCCTCTTCCTCTTCGTGCCTCACCTGACCTGTGCCCACTCACCCTCTGGCCCAGGCCTCACCGCAGCCATTCAGCAAATGGGCGCACGGAGCCCCTGTGCCCGGCCTCTCCTGGGTGGTGCAGCTGGGCTCCGTGCAGTGGGCAGGGACCCAGCGCCACAGGAGCTGCCATCAACTCGGACACATGGCTTCCAAGACTCCTGAACCCCACTACCACAAGCTAAACACGAGAGAGAGCAGAGGACTGCATGGAGGCATTTATGGGTTTGGTGGTGAACATGCCTTTAGACTTCATGCCTGTGCCCAGGAATCACCCGACCATGCGTGAGCTCGGGGGTGGGGCGTGGGGGTGGCTCAGTGTGCTCAGACAGACAGCTGTGTTCCCAAGGAGACAAGAGGAGGTTTGTGAATCGTCAGTCTGAAATGTGGGGCACCCATTGCCCACTTCCTCTCTTCCCACCTAGAGACCCATCGGCCCCTCACAGTCCCCGCACAGCTCTGAGTTGATGCGTCCGGTCTGGATGTGACACCTTGTCACTCAGTGACACAGAAACTAAAAACAACGACAACCCCCAAAAGCCCCAAACCCAGCTTACAGTGACCTCCTTCCCACATGACCAGGACAGGACAAGAACAGAAAGGGAGGGTGGGGAGACCCCCAGCAGCCACTGGTCCAACAGTCGCGGGTCCCTCCTCCTGCTCATTCGAATCAAGGGTGCAGGTTGTTTCCAGGTGTAAACAGTTAAGGGAATATTCGGTCCCAGCTCATGGTGGCCATGTCATTTCTCAGAAGCTTAGTAGGCTTCTGATCTCTTTGCTCCTGTCATGAAGCAGGAGCCCCAGCCAATGTTCCTGCCGTCCACGCTCCTGAAATTGAGTGACTGCTGCCTCGTCCGTGTACCTCTGCCTCTCCGCCCCTCTCTCTCCCTCTTTCTCCTTCATGTGGTGGCTTCATTCAGGTGGTCAGACTTGGGTGTGAAGATTATACCAATTCGCTGCCGGACTGAGGCTTAACTGGTTTTGGTCACTGAAAGGACTTTTCAAACTTATTTTCTACTGCTGAGTTCTAGGCACGATCAGCTTTTCCATCCCGTTGAAATAGCACATTTCTGGCCTGTGTGTTCTCTCTCATATCTGCTTGCGAAGCAGCAAGTCTTGCCCTGAGCTCTTCTGTCTCCTCCAACGACTTCTTACTGTAGCCACTTTCGGGGGGGGGGGGGGGCTGGAGAAGGGCACGGTGGGGGAGAGCCTGCCAGGTGAAGCTGCGCCCATGGACGTCCAGTATGCCTGCAGCCCAAGCAGCACCAGTCCGACTTACCAGGCACGGCAGTGTTTCAGAACAGAGCTTTCATATTAGTCAGGAGATGACAGCCATTGAAAAGATAACTTTGTCACACTTGCAGATCTCAAGAGAAGGGGGCATGGCATCCACGGAGGGCCATCCGGAGACGCTCCAGGGCCATCCGGGAGGCAGAGCAGTGAGCAGGGCAGGTGGACAGTGGTCCGGAGTGGGCTCCGGATGGGTTGGTTGGCAGATGAAAGGTGCACTCACAGGCGAGATGCCGACTCTCTCCAGGAATTGGCCAGCCCTGGGCGGAGCAGTCCCTCCAGGCTCGGTGAGGCCCCGGATGTCAAGGCATCAGAACACAGAAAATAAAAAGACGGAACCATACAAGCAGAGAAAAGAGCACAGGGGGTGTATGGCACGTGGCTCATTTGCTCCCATCTCCTTCCTCCACTTCCGCTCGGGCCAACTCGGTGGTCCCTGCCCACCGACCGCTTCCCGACCCACAGCACACCTGCCACCGAGGCCTCCCATGTACGACTCGCCAGAAATAACCAGGAGAGTAGAACCCATCATTTAACCTCTACAGCACCTACTCAGCTTCATCTTCCGGACACGGATAGTCGTAGTACTCGAGTAAATGTTCATAGCTCACTGTTGGACATTTTATAACGCAGAGACCCCGGTCTCTGTGGAAGGCGGGCCATGCATTTCTAAGCGTCGGGGTAAGCCTAGGCGGGAAGAAGCTTGTGGCTCCAACATCTGGAACACGGGTGAGGTGCTGTTCCGGGCAGAGCGGGTGTTGGAACTTCGCAGAAGCGTGTCTGCAGGAGCCTTGGGGCACTGATAAGGCCCATGGGCTGGGATCAGGCGGGACATCTGTGTCCTCAGAAGAGTGGGCGTCCACCCCTTGCTCTGTGGGGTTTTTTTGTTTTTTGATTTTTGTTTTTGTTTTTTTATCCTCACTGGAGGACTTTTTTCCATCTTTATTCAGACAGAGTGGGAGGGAGAGAGAGAGAGAGAGAGAGAAACATCGACGTGAAAGGGACACATCGAGTGGCTGCCACCCGCACGACCAACCAGGGCCGGGGACAAACTGCAACCGAGGTACATGCCCTTAGCGGGAACCGAACCCGGGTCTCTCTGGTCCGCAGGCCGATGCTCTAACCGCTGAGCCAAACTGTCCAGGGCTTGCTTTGTGGTTTTTATCCACAAGGGGGCCCCTGGAAAGATGCTGTAACTCACCAAGTTGTCCCAGTCAGCTGGGTTTTTCTTTTTTAATCAATTAAATCACTTTGAAACTTCTTTGCTGTCACAGCATATTCAGTGTCTGATCGTGTGTCAGCGAACACAATATAATTTCTACTGTCATGGTAGTCTTCCAGATAAAGCTGTTTCCCCTCTTTGGGGTGATTTTTGATTTTCTAGAGTAACTGGGTTCTCAGTAAAGCCTCAAGCTGTGATGCCATCTCCGACTTAAATGAGAGAGTATATCTTATTCTTTCTAAAATCATTTTTTGAGTCCAGCTGGTGTGGCTCACTGGTTGAGCATCGACCCAAGCACCCAGAGGTCACTGGTTTGATTCCTGGTCAGGGCACATGCCCAGGTTATGGGCCTGATCCCCAGTTATGGGCGTGCAGGAGGCGGCCAATCAATGTTCTCTCATCAATGTTTCTATCTCTCCCTCTCCCATCCTCTCTCTCTCAAATCAATAAAGGAAAAAAAATTTTTTTTAAATCATTTTCGAATCTACAATAGCTTCCTCAAAAGGAAGTAGTTAAGAGTGTGGGCATGCGTTGTGAGGGACTGTCCAAGCAAGGTAACTAGGCTGTTCCCGAGTGGTGGGAGCCTCATTGCTGATGTGACCTCACCTTTGACTTAGGAGCAGTCTCGGGTTGTCGAATCAGTTTGAAGAGTCTGCAGAGGCTCTGTGTGAACCCTCCAATGACACCGATTTTGCAGACAACAGGAACCGAGGAAGTGAGGTGATCTATAACCATGGTAACATGGCCCTGGGAGGATGGCCTTCTGTGATGGGCAACGCGCAGTTCTTGGGTAGCAGATTTTGGCCTGTGTACCATTGATTTTAATGGGTCTATAAAAAAATCAGAATAAAATGTTCAAAGCCGAAAAGGATCTTAGTGATGACCTACGTAATAGCCCCCTTTTCACCCTGGGGAGAGGAGAGGCCAGTCCATTATTTCCCCACACCAAATTTGAACACCTACAGTTTTAAAACTCTAAATGGCACTTTCATCCCTAGTATCATTTCGTTTTTCTCTCAAGCACACATGATTCTGCCACAGCCGTAAGACATTCCAGAAAGGTACCAGGCAGTTCTGAGAACGCTCTACGTTTTCCACTGTGGCAGAGACTTGAGCCCCCCTCCTTTGATGGTGCCGCCCTGTGGGCTCAGGCATGGGGTCCTGGGAACAGTCAGTTCAAGCCTCATCCAAGCATTTACCAATTTCAAGAGATTCCTGAGGCATAGGCCCATCCCCTTCTGTTTCAGCCCCCTCTTAGAATGCCCCCATCCCTGGCATGAGGTGATCTGGAATGCTGGTTTTTTGGGTCACATAGTTGAAATTCAGCATTTGTGGTTTGAAGGTGTGTGTGTGTGTGTGTGTGTGTCTATTATAAGAGCCACAGTAGACCTAGGTGTTCAAATGCACAGTATCTGTTCCTTTGGCAAAATCTCTTTTGACCTTTGCAAATCCCCAGTTCAAGCAGCTAGTCATTGACATGCCTGCTGCTGCGCCCAATGTATGCAGCACAGAGAATACCATTCCGCTCTCTGCCAGGCTTGACAGAGAGCACCCTGCGGCCGACTGCAAAGCCAGGGAGGGCTCCCTGACGGGTAAGACAATGAGAATTAAACAAACCTCTGGCCCTCGCCCCACTGAAAGAAGGAATTTTGTGTTCATTTTGTACCTTAAAAGTGTTCATTATATGAGTTGAGTGTGCTCATTTTCTCTATTGTTGCCTATACACATTTGAGAACAAAAATAGCTTCATCTACATGAAGTGACAAGATGGTGGTTTCAATAACCCAATATGAGGTCTATTGTTGATATTTGAATAATAAACCCTTCTGTTCTCTTGAATAAGACCAAAAATGTTCTCTATTCACCTGCTTTATATATGTCTTTGTTTCTGTCTTACAGAAATTTTTTGATCTTGAAAGAGAGAATGCTTGTGCTACAAAAGAACTGAAGAATCTCACCTTCCCTAGATTAAATCGCAACAAGTACATGGTGACGGATGGAGCTGCTTACATTGGTGGGTGTCGGGGCGCGAGGCTCTGTGGGGGATCATGCAGGTTAGGGGTCCACGGTAAAGTAGAGGAACCTCGGCAGCTCCTGCCAGTGCTTGGGGGAGTAGGGATCCTGGGGGTCAGGAAACAGGAGGGTGAGGGCAAAGAGTCTTCAACAGAGCGTCTCCTCCGTGGCCGTCTCGCCTACCAAGAGCCCACGTGAGATGATTTTTCATCAATGTTTTGCAGGAATTATTTGGTCCCTTTGCCTCAGTTTTTAGGTGAGGCAGTGACTGGCTCATCAAATGGGAGCCCTGGTGCCTGAAGGAACACACACCATGTGCCTTCCTCACTCACAGTACACAGCCAGCCTGTCGTGAGCAGCGGAGGCAGACGTCATCGGGGCTCAGTGCCAGCAGTAATCCCACCCCTGCCATTTTTCAAATGACTAACTTTAGACAATTAAGCTCGCTAAACCTCAGTTTTCTCATCTGTAAAATCGGGCTAATAATAGCTTCTACTTCATTGGATGAGGATTCAGTAGCATAACATATGCAAATCATGAGACGTAGGTGAGGTCATCCATCATTCTAGTATTAGAGTATTTTCACTGACCTAACCACCCTCCGTGCTCCACCTACTCAACCCTCCGCCCGACTCCTGGTAACCACTGATCTTTTTACTATCTCCATAGTTTTGTCTTTTCCAAAATATCAGATAGTTGGAATCATATGCTATGTAGCCTTTTCAGATTGGCTTCTTTCACTTAGTAATATGGACTTAAGTTTCCTTCATGATTTTTAATGAGAGCTCATTTCTTAGTGCTGAATACTGTTCTATTGTCTGGATGTACCACCGTTTATCCATTCACCTCCTGAAGGGATATCTTGTTTGCTTTCAAGTTTTGGCAATTATGACTAAAGCTGCTGTAAACATTCATGTACAGGTTTTATATCAAGAAGTATGATTGTTGAATCAAATGGTGAGAGTGTGTTTAGGCACGGCCGGTGTGGCTCACTGGTTGAGCGTCGACCCATGCACCAAGAGGTCGCTGGTTCAATTCCCAGTCAGGGTACATGCCCAGGTTGTGGGCCCGATCCCCAGTGAGGAGCATGCAGGAGGCGGCCAATTGATGTTCTCTCTCATCGATGTTTCTATTTCTCTCTCCCTCTCCCTACCTCTCTCTCTAAATTCAATAAAGAAAAAAAAAAAAGCATGTTTAGTTTTGTAAGACACTCCCAAACTGCTTCCTCAGAGGCTGCACCATGTTGCATTCCCACCAGCAGTGAGCGAGAACGTCAGTTGCTCCACATCCTCACCAGCATTTGGTGTTGTCAGTGTTCTGGATTTTGATGGTGTTGTCCGTGTTCTGGATTTTGGTGGTGTTGTCCGTGTTCTGGATTTTGGTGGTGTTGTCCGTGTTCTGGATTTTGGTGTTGGTGTTGGTGTTCTGGATTTTGGCCATCCTCATAGGTGTGTAGTGGCCACTCGCTGTTGTTTTTATTTGCATTTCCCTGATGACATATGGGGTGGAGCATCTTTTCATAGATTTATTTGCCATCTGTATATGTTCTTTGGTGAGGTGTCTTTTAAAGTCTTTGGCCCATCTTTTTAATTGGGTTTTTCACTTTTTTATTGTTCAGTTATAGGCATTCTTTGTGATTTTGGATCAGTCAGTTAGCAGGCACGTCTTTTGCAAGTATTTTCTTCCAACATGTGGCTTATCATTTCCTTTTCTTGGCAGTGTCTTTCACAGAGCAAAAAAAAAAAAAAAAAATTAATTTTAATGACGTTCAGCTTATCAATTATTTCTTTCATGAACTGTGCCTTTGGTATTGTATCAGAAAATTCTTCCCCAAACCCCAGGTCATCGAGATTTTCTCTAGGAGTCCTATAGTTTTATATTTTACATTTGGGTCTATGATCCACTCAGGGTTAATTTTTGTGAAGGGAGTAAGGTCTGTGTCTAGATTCGTTTTTTGCATGCAGATACCCTGTCCTCCCAGCACCGTTTTTTTTGAAAAAACTATCTTTGCTCATTGTATTATTTTTGCTTCTTTGTCAAGATCAGCCAACTATATTTATGCACGTCTATTTCTGGGCTCTGTTATGTTAATACATTTTAATTGAGTTTATTTTACACATAGCATTTTAGCAAAACATTCATTCCCTCGAGTGAAGAATAGTTCTAGTATAAAAATATTTAAAGGGCATCAAGAGGAAGAATTCACTGATAATTTAAATAATTACCAGCATGTTCTGGAAAGCTCATAAGTCATCACTCAGGCACCCACTGAGAATTCTGAATTAAGAAAAATCCACACTAGACCACGCATAGAATTATAGCTCTATTCAAGTTTCACAAAACTTACAGAAGAATCCCCAACAGTTATTGTCTCTCTAATTTTTAATTCTCCAGAGTATATCTGAGTCGAGCTTGGCAAACACATCCGGAAGGCGGTTCGAATTATTGGAGGGCGGGGGTGGGGAGGCTGAAGGCACCGGAAAGCTCACGAGGCCCGTCTGCTTCCTAGTGAGCTCATCTGCGCATCCCCATGGTGCCCCTGAGGCTGGCACCCCAGTTCTGGTGTCCGGGGCCTAGACACATCCTGGAACTGAAGTGGCCGTCTCAAAAAGAGCGGGATTAAGCCATCCCAGCTGGAGGGCTGCTGAAGCCTGGCCTGGGTTCCCATGTTCAGCCAAACCCCTGGGAAGAAGTGAAGGAAATAGGATCACCTGGGCATAGAATGCCCCTGGGGCCCGTGAACACAGCCTACGGCTATAATTCCTGAGAGGAACCTAATCAAAGCTTTTTTTTTAAGTATGTTTTTACTGACATTTTAGAGAGGAAGGGAGAGAGAGAAATGTCAATGTGAGGGAGAAACATTGATCCGCTGCCTCCCCCCCACCCCGCACTGGGGATGGAGCCTGCAACCCAGACCTGTGTCCTAACTGGGAATCGAACCAGGACCTCACAGTCCATAGGACCTCACTAAATCTACTGAGCCACACTGGCTGGGCTCAAAGCTTTTGAGAATCAATAGAGGGACAGGATTTTTACTTCATCTATTGTACTGAAGAGAACAGCTGAATTTCACAGACTAAGGCTTCCGAATCTCGTCCTTTTCCCCCATCATGTTTTCCCTTCCTGTGCTACCCCACAGCACATGTCTGTGCTTCCTTCAGAGACTGTGGTCAGCAGGTGAGGGGGCAGAGTTCTCACTGTGGGGCTGCCCCACCCGTGGGGCTGATGTTGAAGTCCAGGGTGACACGCACAGTGAGCACAAGGCATGCCCGTGGGATCAGAGGCGACATGGAACGGAAGCTAAATGTGGGCCATGGGGTCAGACTGGCTTTGAACCTGCCTGGGTACTTTTTCACTCCCACCTTGGATAGATGACGTCGCCTTTTTGTGCCTTGGTTTCCTCATCAGTACAATGGCACTAGCAGAACCCCCGAAGCATGGCCGTGAAGGCTGAATGAGACCATGTCTCCGAGATAAAATGTCCTGCCCTTGCCCCAGCGCCTGGCTCTTAGCTGCAGGGATGAGACTTGAGTGTCTCATGCAAAAGCGGTGAGAGGCAAGGAGCCTTTTGTTTACGGAATGAGAGGTAGATGCCGCCTGCCGGCAGGCTTCACAATATCTCTCCACCTGCAGTAGCCAGTCCCCAGTTAGAGGTCAGGCCGGCTGACCTGGCATGAGCATGCGCACAGAGCCAGCCGCCGAGTGTGCCCCGCGTCCGAGAGCGCACCGCCGGGGACACAGCAGCAGCGCAGGGCGTGTCTGTGCAGAGACCCCGACATGATACTAGGAGCCACTTGGTAGACGTCTCCCTCATCGCAGTGAGATTCATCCAACGTTACAGCTATCATGAAGCTGTTGACAGCGCCTTGTAGTGTTTTGGGGGGTGGGGGTGAGAAGGAGGAGAGAGAAAGCAGAGTCCCTTCTTTCTGCGGAGAATATGTGACTTAGGCCTGGGGGTGGCCCTGAGAAATAAAGTTGCGTAAAATGAGAGAGACAAGGAGTCACTGCCAGCACCCCAGGGTGCCATGTGGAAGACAGAGCCACGGGGTGTGGGGGCGTCTCGCCCAGCAAATACTCCCGCAGCGATGCCCGGTTCCGCCCTTCACACGCCTCCACTCCCGGAGGGACACAGCTCTGAGCCGGGGGAGAGCAGGGGCCAGACCTGGGCTGGTGGTAATCTGGACACAGCTGAGTCTTCCTTAGGGAGAATGTGCCTTGTGTGCGGTACTGCAGGTGGTGTATGGGGCTGGCCGCCGGGGGCCACCACTGATTAGCCACGTGACAGGCAGCTTGATTCTCCTTTAGCCTCACTCTCCTCTGTGAAGCGGGCCTTAATCCGACGCCATATGAGATCATGTGTATAATAATAAGCGCGGTGCCTTCCACATAGTAGGTGCTTAATGAGCGACTGTTCCTCTACCCTCTGGGTCCCCGATCCCAACCTCATCCCTAGCTCTTCCCTGCCAGGCTCCAAGATCCTAATCATATTTTTGTCCACATCCTTTTGGGGGTATGGCTTCCTTATTTCCCAATAGATAAATGTCTATGCCTCTCTCATGACAACAAAATGCTCCTTTCCTGACTTATGTAGCCAGAGTGAGAAATTTCTTTCCCCTTTCAACTCCAAAAAAAGATTTAATACAATCAGATTGATGTCCTGACCCTAGTGCCTAAGAATAAGACTTTATTTGGAGATGGGGTCTATACAGAGGAAGTCAAGTTAAAAGGAGGTCAGTAGGGTGGGCCCTAATCCAAGTTGACTGGTGTCCTTATAATTTGGACACAGACACGCCCAGAGGGAAGACAGTGGGAAGACAGGTCATTGGTCATTGACAAGCCCAGGGGAGAGGCCTGCAATGAGCTTCCCTCACAGCCCTGGAAGGGCCAGCCCCACCCACATCTTGGACTTTCAACCTCCAGACTGAGACAATAGATTTCTGTTGTTCAAGCCACCCAACCTGTGGTCCATTATTCCAGCTGCCTTAGCAAGGGAATACACTTTCTAACACCAGACGTGCACAGTGGGGAGCCCACTGTCCTAGCCCCTGCCCCTGTTTCTGGGCTGAGCATCCGGAGACTGGGAACTGATTTCAGCCCAAGCAAAGTGTTTTTCGTACTCAGATCGGAACGAGTCCTCCTCCTCTGGCTTCAGCATTGTCTTTGATGCGAAGGCTTCTGAGCACTGTAATTAGAATCCTCGTTTGTCCATATGGATTAGATGTCATCTCTTTGAGAGGTAGTAATTATTCACAGGATTTTAAAGTGCATTCCCGTGTATTTTAAATGTTGCTGTATTTAGTGTGTCTTGTGAATGTCAATAAGAAATAACATTTACAAAAAGAACAGCGGATTCCTTGTTTTGAGTTTCAAGTCGAGCAAAGCTGAAGAAAACGTCAAAATAACATGCAAATATTAATCTGCCATATGTAAGACTTCTGGGAATTTTTTTTTTTTTTTCCTGAGCTGTCAACACAATTTAGTCTCCCTGTCGTCGTCATCCCTGGGTGTTTATTTTTTATTTTTTCATAGAAACTACAGTGCATTTCCCTGTGTGCGGAATAGTCCCCAGTGGATCCTCTCACCAGTATTTCCTTTGTTTGTTCGCAGGGAATTTTGACTGGGTGGGGAATGATTTCATCCAGAATGCGGGCACGGGCCTTGTCATCAGCCAGGCAGATGTGGGGAACCACACAAGCATCATCAAGCAACTGAAAGATGTGTTCGAGAGGGACTGGTACTCACCCTACGCCAGAAGCCTGCAGCCGACCAAACAGCCAAACTGCTCCAGCCTGCCCAGACTCTGACCCCCACACAAAACTGCCACACACAGGGCGAGTGGAAAGGACCCCAAGTGTATAACACGAGCGAACTCACGGACCAGACCGCTAGTATTTCCGATCTCTATATAAAGGACTTAAGGAGAGAAAACTCACGCAATGTCTTTTTTTTTAGGGAAAAAGCACACTTATCAAAAATAATCTCTGAACGCCATGTAATATGTCACCCTATCTTAGCAGCGTGTACACTCAATTTGAGACTTTTGTATTTGTTACTTCTGACGGAGAATGTCATTTCGGCTTGAAAGTTCGTTTTTACGTTTGCATACAAATTTTAAGACTTGGATGCCTCTTCCTTTGTAGTTTTAGGACACTTTCTGCTGACCCACGTGGGCAGTTCTTAGGAAGCTTTGCATGAGGTAAGCTCTTACTGTTTGGAGAACTGCTGACTTACAGAGGAGAAGGAGGATTTCACCTGGACAAGAGATCAAACCAGGCATTGATCCTGTGAATCATCTCCGGGACCCGGGAAATCATGTCACCCTTCAGTCCTCTTGATACATACCTTTTGCCTCCTTGTTAATTTTATTCTAATACCATAGATTTTATTTTGAATCATTTTCCCTTCTCACAATATGTTCTTAGGACAGTGTCCTCAAACCAGTTCCAAGTATGATGTCCTTTGAAAGTGTACCGATTCCTCAGAATGGACACAAAATGGAAATCGGTGTTTAGTTTTCACCTTTTCAACTGCATCTTTTCTCTCCCGAGTTGATACTTTAAAACCATAGCCAGCAATACGTATCCTTTCTCTCAAGCTCAGAACAATTATGTAACCACCTGCTAATATGCAGCAAGCGATCAAGTCTGCCTTTTAGAGAATAAAGTAGTTTTTCACATTTTTGTTTAGTTTATGGAAGTATAAAGGAAAGATCTCTATGCCTCGTGGATCTGAGATTCTTTAGAATCATTATGCTGTTAAGAGTATGCCAGCAAATGTTTATAGAGCTGTTTAATATACCTTCTGCTATTTAATATACCAAATGCTTTTCAGAGAAATGCAATTTAAATACTGTGCTTCACATATTTTACTAAGAAACAAAACTATTGGATTATTATTCTATAACGTCACTGTGTGTTGTTTTATAGCTGTACAATGTATAACCCTATATTAACAGAGACTGTTGCTCAGAGCTCAGAGCCCAGAGCCGGCGGCCTCAGGGTTCCCAGTCTTCATGTTGGTCCCGACTCTCTCCTTGGCCTCGGGCTCCTATTGGTAATGTAGGGACAGTAAATACTCACCTACCTCGCGAAGATGTTGTTATGGTAGGAAATATTTATAACTTGTTTTGAAATCAAAAGAACCTATATAAATGCTAAGCATTATGATGTAGAATCTTTTTCTTCCAATAATCTCTGTGGTCTCCTGATAGAATCATACCAGGGTCTCCCAGAGATCCTGTTAGGGGAGACAAATCCCCAGCTTCCAGTTGCCTGTGGGGAGGACCACGCAGCACAGAAGTCCTGCTGGGCATCGGGACTGTCATCACGATGTTGGGTCACTTAGGCATCAGAAATGGTGACATAAAACTCACATTGTGTGAAGGGTTGCTCTCTAGCACTGCCATGAACATGTGTTTTCAGAGCAAAGAAAGGCCATCTTAATTACTTTTTTCTATTTCTAGAGATTTATTTCTAGTGTGTCATAAAGTGACGAGGAGCCCATTAACTTTTCCAGTGGGTTCGCTTGGCGTGGAATGGCTGTTGTTGGTCGTCAGCGGTCACAGTACTCCCTCTCCTGTTGTCTCCAAGCAGGGCTTTATGGGTACTAAACAGGCAGTGAAGAGAGCGGTCTTTTTAAAGGCAGATGTTTTCCTGAATGACCGGGGGATTCTTAATGAAATCCTTCGTCAATAATGGCCAACCCATAAGACTCTAAATATTTACCAATACCTAATCCTTGTTTGAGTAGGGAGTCATCCAGCCAGTCATCTCAGTAAAGATGGTTTTGATGATGATTTAAAAAGAATGAAAGAGAAAAAATGAGGCATGGAGACAAACATACCACGCTCTGTCCCGGGCAAAGAAAAGCAACCTGGGTCGAGTTAGCAAAGTACAGGTGAAGGGAGGAGAAACCGCTGCTTCCTTGTTACTTCTCAAGTTGTCTCTTGGAGTATTCGTCACAGCCGTGGGACAAGTGTCAGCTTGGTGTAAGGGGGCCCTTCGTTCTCACTATCTTTTGCATGTGATAGGAGAGGAGAATTGTGTCCTCTATGAAGTGACCACCATTGCCATTTCCCGCTGAGCCCCATCAGAAAGGTGGACCCAGGAACCGTGCCCGGGGTTTTCAGAGCCCTCCTTGGCCCAGCAGACCCCCCTCTTCAAGGTCTCCGGGAGGCAGCACTGGCCTGTGTGGCAGCCAGGAAAACCGCCCTGTGCCGACTGTCATAACTGGGCCCATGTCTCCTAAGAGAACAGTCGATTCTGCAGAACTTTCTTTTTCACTTGGATGGCTTGTCTACCCCTCTAGAAGTGGTCTTCCTCTCATTTAGACGGTGTCTAGGCTAACTAGACTTCCAGCTTCATTTCCCCCACAGACATCCCAGGAATTCTCCCCAGGGGTGAGGGGAGGAAAGCAAACACAATCGGACACTATATTTTAGATTTCCGTGCCACTCCCATTAACCTAGTGCCTTATTTCTCCTCGAGCATTGATTTTAATGATTCGCACATGGGAACACTTCTGCGGACCACCTGATGGGCCTTCGGATGAAACTCGTCTGTGGGTGTCCACAGCTCTTATGCAGCCGGCTCTCGTCCCAAGCCACACGGCTGGGATCACCCCCAAATCAAATCATTGACACACACTCGAATATCAGTACCGTTGGTCCCCACTGCGCTGCCACAGGCCACTAGCATATCAAATAATTGTGTCATAGCTTTTCAAACCACTGGGGTGGACAGGGAACATCCTGGACGATATCCTTGCTCCACAAACAGCACAGTTGGGCACCCGAAAACGATGGGGGGGGGGCACACTGAAAATGCTCCCTGTCTGTAAAGCACCTCGTCAGGAGATGCTCCGGGGCTTCCGAAGCCTCGTGGACATAGGATGCAAACAAGTGTCTTTAAGTCAGAGCAGACCCAGTGAGGGTGCTGAAAGGCCTGTGGGAAACCTTCGCGTGTGCGTAGCTCCGGGCACCGCTTTTCCCGCCCGGGCTGTTCGTGCCCTTGCTCGTCACTCTGCCGTGCTTCTCAGTGAGATGGGTCCGATGACGTTTGTGATCTTGGAACACGGGACTTGTCGCTGCAGTTGAAAGTGCCTCGCAGAACCTGGGACAGAAGCTCGTCCCCCGCCCCCACCTGTGCTTACTCTCAAGTGACTCCGATTCAGTCTGAGTTTTCGCTTTGATTTTAAGAACTTTTACTGAACGAAATTCTAAGGGGAAAAATGAAAAGACTGTGAGAATTTCTTGATAAGATCAGACCCGGGGTCTGGCTGACTCAGGAATGCGTTTCTTTGTCCAGAATTCATTCCATTATTATTAGCATGTAAGGAATGTAAAAAGATGCCTTGACTTGCAACAGAGCAGTTGTCTTCTGAAACGAGAGTACTTTGCGGTGGGTTATGCCAGCTCAGTCCCTTATAGACAGCCCCACACTCCGTGGGCAAATGTTCGGTTCTTCTGTTTTCTGTACTTACTCGCAGTGAGCAGGTCAACTTAATACAAGCCTTTTTTAAAAATAATTTTTATTTGAGTATAGTTGGTATACAATCTCATATTGGTTATATTAGTTACAGGTGTGTAATATAGTGATTTGACATTTTTATATCTTACAATGTGATCACCCCACTAATTCTAGTAATCGTCTGTCACGGTATAAACTTATCACAATGTTTTTGACTATATCCCTCTTCCCTTTTCACCCATGCCCCACCTCCTCCTGGTAATCATCTCTTTTTGGTCTATGTCTTTTTGTTTTGTCTGTTTGTTTTTGTTTATAGCTTCCACACATAAGTGAAATCATATGCAATTTGTCTTTGTCTATCTGACTTACTGTTGTTAACATAGTACCCTCTAGGATCTATCCATGTTGTTGCAAATGGCAAGACTTCATTCTGTTTTCTTGCTGCATAATATTCCATCGTATATATGTACCACCTCTTCTTTATCAGTTCATCTATACAGTAGACACCTAGGTGGCTTCCATATCTTGGCTATTGTAAATAATGCTGCAGTGAACATAGGGGTGCGTATATCTTTTCAAATTAGTATTCTCATTTTCTTTGGATAAATAACCAGAATTGGAATTGCTAGGTCATATGGTATATCTATTTTTAGTTTTTTTTTAGGACTATCCATATTGTTTTCCATAGTGGCTGCACCAGTTTGCAATCCCTCCAACAGTGCACAAGGGATATTATAAGACTTTTTGAAGGAGAAATTAATATAATATCCATTTGGCCTAAGGTAGATTGGATAAATTAATTCAGATTTAGTATTTTTCCATTTGCTGAGATTTAGCATCTCTTCCTTTTATATGTTTGTAAACAAATCGCCATTTATTATTTTTACCTTATTGGTTTAAATTGATGGAAGCTTTTGAATAGCCCTGAAGTCAATCCTGGTTTATAACCTGCCTTTCCCATTTGGGAGAACTTCCATCTTTGACTGAGTTATGAAGATACCACTTTTTATGATGACTACATGCGTATTCTTGAGAAGTTTCTTGACATTGTAAAAATAGAATTTTCTCATTTTTAACCCATTAGCAGTCTTGTACTTACAGAGTTCTAAAAAAGGTCACTGGTTGCTTATGTGCCTTTGGGCAATTTGATGAGAAGAAATTTGATGAAAAAATTGAATAGGCGTTATGCATTTTCTTTTGCTCTGTTTAACTACTAAACTTCTAATTCTTTTACAAAGGATAGCTTGAATTTTTAATGTTTCTTTATGTAAATAGGATGAAGTCGTACCTGGACATATCTATACAATTAACCTTAAGATACCGAAATAAATTGATGTGATAAAGGGCTAAATCTGGGGACAGCATTGAAATTCTCAAACCTTTCCTGTAACCAAGTGCTCGATTTTTTCAGATAAATATTATATACATTTTTTATTCTGTGAGATGAAGCATTTATTTTCCTCTTCGGCTTGATTTCAGAAACAAACCAGTGTCTTCTGCATGTCCGAGCTGTACCCTAGGAGATAAGTCAGGTCATTGCAGGTGCCCCATGGGCTGTGTTCCCACCATTTGATCTATTTGCCCAAGGAGGCATCTTTGTAACAATATTCTTGTCTCTCTATATAAAAAAAAGTTTGTTTCCAATATGTCTTTGGTTTTGAGTAAATAAATTGTTGTTTTTTGTTGTTGTTTTTTTAGTGAAGAAACCACTATAGAGACCAGGCTGTATATTCTGGCCCAGGGACAGAAAGGGCGTTTTGGATACAATTTCAGCTGCTTCCGACACTCCCTCTCCACACACTCTCTTCTTTCCAGGCTTAAATCCATAATCAAAACCCCTGCTGTCTGCTCAATAAACCCACTTTAAATCACAGGTTTAGAGGATATCCTGAAAGCCACCCACAACTCCCCAAGTGCACAGATTTCTTTCCCATTTGGCCGATCGGAAGTTGAGGGTCTACTCAAGGCAGATCTGTTTCAGCGCTCAGTGCAGTGCCTTTCATAAGACGCACACATAACACAATTTTGTGGATTTGTTAATGTAAATGAGATTGAGGCAAAGTCATCTCTGGGAGAATGTGTGTGCTGTTGCATACCATGGGGGACCTTTTGTGTTATTGTTGTGCATCTTCACCCAAGGGTATTTTTCCATTGACTTTTAGATAGAGTGGAAGGGAGGGAGAGAGGGAGGGAGGGAGGGAGAGAGAGACAGAGAGAGACACAGAGAGAGACACAGAGACAGAGAGAAACATCGATGTGAAACAGACACATTAATTGGTTGCCTCCTGCATGACCCCAACCAGACTGGAGATCAAACCTGCAACCCTTGATTGAATCAGAGACCCTTCGGTCCCCAGGCTGACACTCTAACTGCTGAGCCAAATGGCCCAGGGCAATGGGTGACCTTTTTATAAAGAGAAGAAATCTGAAGGGGCATCCTTTTTTAAAGCTGCCATTAATAAAGCCAACTTTCTGAATCTGCAACAGTCAATACTAATTTGATTTTATCTGCATTT